TGGACCGCTTCATGTGGTAGCTGTCATATAGTGAAACCGGAATGATGCTCAAATCCGCTCCTGTGTCGACCATGAAATGGACGGGGCATCCATCCACGGTTCCTGTGATGAACCACGGCTCTTGATTGTCTCCCTTGCGGACTTCCCCGAGGACTTCTTCTGTGTCTGCCATTTCCTTCTTTGAGGTGTATTGTCAACGTGCAGACGAATAAACAGTTGCATAATGACCAGTCTTTCCACAATTATCGCCCCTTTTCCCAACGCTGGACAGTGTCTCTTAGAGTGCTGCTGTGGGCTGTCGAACCACTTGCATACGTTGTGCCCTGCCGGTTGTCCAACCGGCAGCTTGCCCATTTTCCGCAGTGTTTTTCCATGGCTCTGACGTCCCTTTTGGCGTCGAAGCACGTCGGCCGTGGCACTCTGCTCGGTTTTCTCGTGCAGCTCTTTGTGCTGTGGCTTGACGATCTCGGAATTCCTTGCATTCTTTGTGGCGCACTGAAGTGTGAGCTTGGAATCCAACTGCAACTTCTCTCTAAGTCCCAGGACTAAAAAGTACAACTAGGCGGTCGCGAACGAGCTTTTTTTAGCGGGCCGTATTCACACGTGTCCGAGAGTTTGTGAAGTTCTGTTATAAACATTTCGACTGACACATTCACTTCTTCCTTTCAACGACTGAACTTCGCCCTTTCAAATATTGTATTCATGCAGGGGACGAAGTGTTGTTCGAGCGTAGACTTTGAGCGCGCCATCTGTCAACTGTAGTGATGCCAAAATGTCCTCGGCTCCTTTTCCTATCGTGTACAGAAAAATATTCACCTCTGTTTCCGCGTCATGGATCTGAAGTCCTGACACTAAGCGGTAGCGTTCCCAACATGACATCCAACGTTTTCAGTCAGTTGGGTCACAAAAATCCAACATCTTGGGAAGCTCAATTGCAAACAGGTTGAAGAAATTAGTTGCTGTCGAAATCCCGTCACTCCCAAAGAGACTGGACCCTCAGATTGCTGCTCAAACCACTGCTGCCACCATGTCGTGTTTCCGGTCAGGAATTGAGGAAACCAAAGGTTAAAGCAAGCATTTACTCAGCAGCATCTTGGACCATTCCGCCTGGTTCGATCTCCCGCGCATGTGTACCCCGCAAGCCTCGTCTATTCTGTGTATTGCCAATCACCCCATTGTTCGTTTGGCGCCATCTGTGAATACAGTCGCCAACCGATTTTTCGGACTTCGCAGGGACCGAGATGAGGTAAGAATAATAGAGCAGTCTGAAAAATCAGCAGATTAAAAAACTTGCCATTATTAAGTCCACAAAGACTTTAAAAAGCCGTAAATAGCGCCTTGCTTCAGGTTACGCCTGTGCGCCTTGTTTGAGCTTAAGCTTCAGTTTGCGTTCAGCAACTTTCTGTTAGCTTGAGAATCACTGCCGTCTTTTCTAGTGTTATGGTTGAGTACTTTTTGCGCCTCTTAGCAACAGATCACAGCAGCAAAGCCAACAGATGGGGCAATGACGTTTAAGCCAGCGTAGTCTGAAAACATAATTCACTGAGACAAGATCGAAATGAGAGGTGCAAGTCCATGACTGCAATGGCGAATGAACAAAGCAAAATAGAAACAATAATGGTGATAATGACGTGCAGCTAAAGAAGAAAAAAAAAGCCGTACAGCGTCACCTAGCAGTAGGACTTACCAGTATTTAAGTAGTGCAGTTAAACCAAGCCAATCCATGTGCAAGCAGCATAAAATCCAAAATGGCCACTTCTCATTGGCGTTTCCCGCTGATCGCTCGCGACAATTTTGTACAAAGAATTTAACTTTCGGACTTTAAGCTGCCCGAAACATTGGTTGTGAATATGCACCATTTCTATTGGGTAGGTCATGGTTCCTCCTTTAGGTCCAAAATATCGAACAAGTCCAAATTATCAGGGTCCGAAAAATTGGTCGGCGACTGTAGATTGATACGCGAGCACATTTCCCTGTCTTGGTTGCAGATGCGAGCAATCGCATGTTTGAACTGCGTGTGGTTCATACCATGGATGAATGCAGCTTTAGCAGCGATGCCACCTCTGCCATACCCACAACCTGGCATTTCCCACTTACCAAACCCTCTCCGTGCGAGTGTCTGCTGGTGATGGACGTCGGCAGTACGACGTCTCAAATGCGGCTCAGACTGGTGCGTTTAAAGGGACAATGAAGGCAATTTCGGACATCTTTTTGGCGATTGAACTGGGTTCCAGGCACGTCTCAGGCCACATTGCCCAAATTTCAGCCGAAACCGGAGCTTGTGTGCCGCGCAAATCAGTTAAACAGTCGCGGTAACAATTGTACCGGAATCGACTGACTGGGGCTACGCCCCGAGAGTTGCGGGAGAAGCCAGGAGAAGCGCAGCTCACGTGACCGGTGCGGGGCCAAGAAGCGCGATGTCACAAGAGACACGTCAGCGACTGGTCGAAACGAGAGACGTGCCCTCGGTCAAGTTTTGGTTCGAGATTTTTAAAAATACTGTTCTAATTTCCGCTTTAATAACCATGAAAAGTATAAATCGAACCGGAAATGATTACTAAACCGTAAATAAAGCAGCATAATTGTTTCTTTTTCTTTGCTACGCTGGACGCGAAACGGCCAACAAGCAATTATAGGAACTGTGCAGATCTAATTCAAGCCTCGACCAGGGCGCCCCTAGCGGCAAACGGGTCCGTTGCATCGGGGAGCTTCTGCCAGTCGCTGCGTTGGTTGTGCGTTGTAGTGGGTTAGCGCTGTAATGTCTGAGATGGCTATTCCGCACCAAGAAAGCCACAACAATTGCTGCGTGGTCGACTGCAACAGTACATCGAAGATCGCGCAAGGCACGAAGTACTACATCGTCTCTTCGAAGCCTTACGAGGCGGCCCTGGGGGGCTATGTTGCACGTTTTGGACTTCCAGGAGACTAGGGAGAAGGAAGTGACGTAGGTGTGAATGAACGTATCTCAGCAGCACCACGCAACGCGTCATCAGCGACTCCACCAATCAACGTCCAAAGAGCTTCGTTGACTTCACTTCCTTCTCCCTAGTCTCCTGGGAGTCCAAAACGTGCAACATAGCCCCTCTGGGTGCGACCATACAGGTCAGTGGCGTTTCTTACCTTCCAGTTCGCGCTTTGTTTAAGCTGCTGACGAATAATAAAATTTATCTTTATCTTTTTTTCTATTCTAGCGACGATGGAACAGCAACGACACCGACGGCAAACTCCAAAGTATGCAGCAAATACTTCACCAGAATCGAGAAGCGGAATGCGGTCGCCCACCTAAGCCTACCCTTGGATGTTTCCATCAGCCTACAGGAAGATAGTAGTGGGAATCGCGGAACAGCGCGAAAAAAAAATCGCCCAGTTATTGTCAAGCTGATTCAGAAATAAACATACATAATTACCACAATCCACTCAGCGCCAACTACATTTTTTTCGAGCGCGCCTAATTTTGCTAGCAAAGTATGGCGCTCCGTGACATCTACTAGTCCGTCGAAACAGACCTCCTTTACGTCGTACATGCAGCCAGATTCACGAAGGAGTCTTCCCTTCGTCATATTGGCACCACGGAAGAAGCTTTCTGGATTCGTAACCGCCTTAAACCCTGTTGTAATCACCCCGGGAACACTGTCCGCTGTGCTGCCCATCGCCATTGCTTCCCCCCCATGATCCTGCATCGGTTACCAAAGAAGCTTTTTGGATTCGTAATCGCCCACTGTCCTCTGTGGTGTTTGTTGCTATTACTTCCCAATGATTCTGCGCCGACGGCACCGGCTACCGAAGGAACTTTCCGAATTCGTAACTGCCTTAAATTCCTTCGTAATCCCGACGGGGACACTGCCCGCCGTGCTGTTCGTCGCCATTGCTCCCCAATGCTCCTGCAGCGGCTACCGCTAGGTCGCGGCGAACAATAGGCGACCGCCGCGACACGGCCGGCTTGCTCGCTTCCTATGGGTGGTCTCCGTTGGGTGATGGCGGAGGCTACCACACACATACTCCCGTTTCGTTTGTGTTGGGTCACTGAACAGAAGCTCGAACTTGATCGCAAGAGCGGCATTGCTGTCAATGTTGACAGATTTGGCGAAAAGACCGCGAGAACGCGCCGCTATACCCCACCGCGGTAACCAGTCTCAATCTCCTAAATACTACCAATACCGACTACTTCACACTTGACGTCACTCCCTACGTCACCTCCGTTTTCGAGGCCCATTACCAAGAATGGAGATTGTTCAGTCTTGGTTTCTTTACTTCTTTCGTAATCACAGAAATGCGCGTCACAAATGTCTACAAAAATTGGGCAGCATGCTATGTTCCCAAGAAGCATAAAAACACCATTTAAAAAAATTAAATAAAATTGTCTTCATTGTCTTTTTAACGTCCCACACCGCCCGTATGTCGAAAGTGTTCCCGAAGCGGCAACAAGTGACGTCATCGGAGCCGACGTGCCACGCCGTTAGATGCCGTCGTCCCGGCGGTCGGTCACAGCAGCCCCCGCAAAAAAGATGCGTCCCAGATCCCGGGTGCCCAAGTTCCTGTCAATCGTCTGACCGCACAAAAACCCGCAACGGAACGGGCGGCTCCTGCACCCATCTTTGCTCTCGTCTCATCGCCGAGATCGGGGCGGGCGCCGACCTCGGCAAGTAAAAATCTAGCGGGGAAATTTACCCATAATGCACCGCGCAATTATGCCGACGCACGCCGAAGGCGACGGCGACACCGACAGCGGCGCCGCTCAAGCCGGAAACGGGCACCTAAGAGCTGCGCTCTAATATTTGCGAGTAATTTTGCGAGTATGACACGAGTGCAACATCTTTAGGCGGAAATCGAGGGACCAGAAACGAGGAGGCAGTAAGCACGCTGGCCGGAGACGCATTTTAGGCATCGTAGTGAGTGAGAAAGGGTGGAGAGTTTGTCTCTTACCGGAATTTCGCTGACCGAGCCGATCAAAGGAAGCCGCAGGCCACACGCGCAAGGGTATGAAACGTGTTGCGACTTGCCAGGATGTGGTCTCCCGGCACAAGGGTCCAGATGGAGTCGTCCAGCTTGATCCGCCAGGGGAGGTCCCCGTCCACGGGCGTTGACCACGTGTCCGTCCCGATGTCCTGGACCTGGACCTTCAGGTGGGTGTGGCTCAAATCCACGCGCACCTGATTCCGAGAGGTCACCTCCGCATCTACCTGCGAGGTGCCACGGCACGCATTGCAAGTCCCTAAAGTTCCGAACTTGAGGGACCCCACCGCACTAGTCACAAACCGTCGTTCCTCGGCACAAAGTGTCTCCAAATGACGCACCTTTCGCTAAATTACTTGAGCAACGTGGAGACCACCGGGAATTTAGGTACGCGTGCAGCACACGCCCGCTTTATTCGTATTAAAGATTCAAAGTAAAGAACCAAAACCTAAGTGTCATTTCTTCTGGATGTTTGCTTTGGAACGTTTACCGCTGCACACGCGAGCATGCACCGTGCCATACCTATGTTCCCAGCATTCTCCTTGGTATTTGGGTAATTCGGAAAAATGTCTACACCACCTAGAAAACGGCCACCTTCCCTCCACTAACATTGTCACTCCCGAATCCACACAGTGCCTCCTAGCTCACATCCCCGACACAATGGCAGCGTCTCGCAACAAACAAGACACATGAAGCACGGCAAGAACGAAATGCGCACATCGGTTACTTCTCCTTGTAGCCTCTGGAGCTTCAGTGCGCCTGCCAACTGGGGTCGGATGGGGACCCACTACAAGTGACATGACACACAACTCCTTTTAACGCGGATCGTGTTTCGCGAGTCGTTTTCTATGAGAAACAATTCACGAACAAGCGTTATGAACAAACGTTATGCAAAGAAAAATAGATAAAAAAATAAGTAAAGCAAAAGATAAATAAAAGATAAGAAGCATTAAAGGGGCGATTCCAGTCAATATTTTTTTTTTAATTTGGGATTATGACTATTTTCAGCAAAGCCACTGTCCCCGAATTACGAGGTATATAATTTTTTTTCTTTCGATACTGTGTGTACTTTTATAAGTATCACGGCTCAAAGTTTGGTTTCGGGTGCCCACGGTAAAACCGAAACTATCTGTTAGAAGGATGGCAACACTTATGATCAGCTGTACGGCTGCGACGTGACGTCACACTGGTGCCGTGGTACATGGTACAACCAATCAACCGCAGCTCCACTTGCCGCCCGCTAAAAGCAGGTGGTCACATCTTCAAAATCGGTTTAAGTGGGGTGCGCCGCTTCACATCGACGTAATATTGCGGCTGTGATTATATTTCAAGCCACCAAAGCGATACCAATCATTTATTTTGGTTTCGTTTTTGACCGGTGGTTTGTATTTCTCCGACACACCCCAGAAATTCCCAATTCCTCGTGGCTGTCCCGCAAAAGAATTGCGGCAAGAGCCAAGGCATTGAACACAGTGCAGCCTGCAGACTACATTCAAGCATTTCTCCGCTAAAGTAACCGGGAAAATGTTCCTCGCTAAATTTGGAGGACCGTCACGACGACCCACTTGGGGATCCGCTAAGAAACCTCGCCGTAACGGCCGTCGTCATTGGAGTCGTTTGTGTTTCCGAGCAAAGTGCAAGAATATGCGGCGAGCAAGCTGGTCTACTTCTTGCACAGGAGTTGCGGGGACGTCAGAAGGACGCTTGACTAGCTTCGATTGGAAGGATAGTGGGTAGACCTCAATGCCAGAGGCCTCGAGGTCTACCCACTATTTTTTTCAATAAAAGTTTGGCATTCTGACATCATCGCAACCACTGCGCAAGACGCATACGAACTTGCACTCCATATTGTCACAATTGAAAATGAGAAGACAAATTTATAGGTGTAAATAAACATTTAATAAGGTAAACTTACGCCACGAACTGGTACGGGAAGTAACCGTTAGTCCTTTTACAGTCGAGTTTTCTTTCCCGAAAAGACGCCTCCCAGCGAACGAGTTTTGTTTGCAAGGGAATCGTATAAAGAAAGGCGGTGTTTAAAAGCACTGAATGGAAATACCGAAGGCGAAAAGTGGTCACCTCTCCCATTCAGTTTTATTTGGTGCATCCACTTCCGCAACGTTGTGGCGGTTTCAGATTCCGAACCGGAGGTACTTAACAGAGCTTCTTAGTTGGATGGCGAGCTCTCATTCTACGAATTCAATTCCAAAAAGCGTTAAAAAGTCTGAAACAGAAGAGAGGGCGCTCCGACTCCTACTGCCACCGGAGCAGCAGACACGCCAAGCGACCATCTTGCGTGCATCACGTGCGCGGAGCTTCTACCGTAGAATACCGCGCATCCGCTAATTCCACACAAAGCGCCAAAATCTGAAACTTCTGAAAAAATATGCACAATAGATATAAATGTAAAATTGACAACCTCACATGCGCCCATCCCCTATTTTTCGCAATTATCTTCAGATTTTGAGCGGGCGGTAATTTCTAAACTATGGGAAGTCCTGGCAAAGCGAAACACCATGCTGACACAATGTGTATAGTTCGCCAAATGCATAACAAATAGCAGTGCGTGCAGTTTCGTGCTTAGTTGGGCACTTTCAGACACGCAATTACCACCGTATGTGAACGGCACAGAGGCAGGAGGCTCCTGGAGGTGACGCAAGTTCACTGGATGTGAAGCCAGAAGTGTGGAAGGACACGCCCTCAACGATGACCAAAACCAATAGCCCCTTCCCCTGGCAAATGCTGAGCGCTCCGCGCTAGCGGTCGTCGAGCGGTCTGCCTCCGTGAGCGATCGGTCACGTGATCCATCCAAGTGGCACGCGCTGCGGAGCAAATCGAGCGTAACGCTCCCAGCGCCACTGCTTCCAGAGCGTCTGCTCTCGCTTTTGAACAGTTGAAGTTGTGATCGTAACTTTATGCTTTGACAAAAGATTGATCGTTTTCTACTTGATTAACGGTGACTCCGACGTTAAGACACAATTTATTTTTCCTTACAGTTATATAAGCCCAATGAAGACAACTAGAAGTACTTGTACGAGCCGTAGGATGCTATTCAATACCAAACACGTATGCCGTAAAGCGATTGTCATCTCCGAAGGCGACTTCCATCTGCGGAGTATTTGGCGTGTTGTCTTCCGATTACATTACAGAGACTACAAAACAAACAAACGACATACCTAGCTCTTCATCCGAATAGGCGCGCACAACGCCTTCAACGTAACGCGGTATCTTGGGCCTCTTCGCTGGCTAGCCAAACGACTCGGCAAACACTTTGCCGAGAACGGCTGCCTCGTCGTCACTCGCGCTGGAGCTAAGCTGGTATCTTCGTAGCTGTCACTGCGTTTTATTAGACCTCCTGAAATTAACTGCAACGATGTCATCGCCGCAGTATGCTCGGGCGAGTCGGTCATGACGAGGGGAACGAAAACAAGCACACCAAGAGAGCCCACCCAGCAATCGAAACAAAAAAGCCGCGAAACTCCTTCACTCCCCCGCAGGAATGTCGATAACGAAACTGAAACGTTGCGAGAGACGGCTACAGATCATACTCCTCCGAAAAAGGCTGCGCGGAGAACTACTCTGGACCGCTCGACGTGCTCCGCCACTTTTCCACGGAGCGGTTGGAGCCGCTCAGCGAGCGCCCCACTGGCTCCAGATCTACAAGCGGCACACGGAGAGACTGCTCTCATCTCGCGAGGGAGACAAGAATCCACTCGGCGAGCGCGCGCCGAACGCTCGCTATTTGCCAGAGGAAGGGGCTACAAGAGACCCTACTGGTTTTGGTCAATGTTGGGGGCGTGTCCCTCCCCACTTCTGGCTTCACCTCCGGTAACCTCGTGTCGCCTCCAGGAGCTTCCTACCTCCGTGCCGTACGGCGACAACCGTCGGAGGGTTAAAGGAAGCCTACCTTGACCCTCACATCCAAATCGTGGATGCTTTGGCTCCAGCAGTAGCCGTCCCTGATGGCGCCGTTGTAGCTCTCGGGGTGACTCTGAAACCTGGCCTGAACCCTGTGTGAAAACGGAAGCGAGAGGAGGTTGGTCGGGCGGCGGTTTGCAATCTCGAGCGAGAAAACTCGAAACGCTCGCCAGAAACTGTTTGAAAGAATTCCGCTCGTTTTAATATATCTAGCTACGGTCACTGACGGAGTCGCAAGCGACGGGGAGCGTTTTACGAAGGTGCGGCCTCGAGCATGTGCTCCACGCCTTCCGCTGCACTTCGAGCCCACGCGGACGCTCGAAGTGCACTGGATGTCGAAGCGTTGTCGAAGGCGAGAAGCTGCGCCGGTGGTGGGTCGACCGAAGCTCCTCCAGTGAAAGCTCGCCTTCGGCTCGCACTCATCGGCAACACGTACAGCTACGACGGTCAGTGAACACTCCCCATGTAACGAGACGGTCGGAACTGCCGATACGACATCAATGAAATCTAGCCTCGACTTGCCATTCCTAGCGTACGACCTCCCAGTAAAAGCTTGTAGCAGCGTTGGTGGCTTCGAGGCAAGGTGCCGGCCTTCAGGTCCCCGGGTGGTCCGGATAAATCCTTGGTTCTTCGCCGCCGTTTCTCGGTTTGGGGTGTGAATCTTGCAAAATTCCTTTTATTGTCTGCATCTTTCGAAAGTTACTTTATTGGTCTTGCGTATGCACCAAACTTATTTTACTTCCCCAGTGTATATCACCTCAATTAGATTGTAAGGTTGAAATTCTAGGGTGCGGAAGTAATGCTCAGAATCGTTTCTACGGCACGCGTCTGGAGGGCGAAATCGCTTTCCTGCACCGACGGCATTGGACGAATGACGCCAACAATTTTAGAATTTCCTGGGGGACATTCTGTAACTAGGAGCCATTTTAATTATACTACAACCTAAGACTGCACTCCGCTTTTTTACACACTGACTGTAATTCCTCCCCCCTTTAATGCCTTAAGTGCTGACAGTACACCAAATCAATACAAAAAGCTAGGTCAGAGTTTCAGAAAACCAAGGGGACACTTCTTACGGATCATAGTTAGGGTCGTCGTCTGCTCCGGAGACGTTTGCTTTGCCGACGTCCGTATCTAGCTTGCCCACCGTACCGTTGTTTGCCAACGTTTCGTCTGCTTTTCCTTTAGAGTCCGGTTTGGTGTCCTGGGCCTCCGCATCAGTGTCGGATTCCTGCAGTTCGCAGAAGTCATTGTTGCCGGACTCAAGGGTGTCGTCGGACGACGCGGTCGTCTCTATTTCCACCACTCCAGCAGAAGATGGTACAGTCAACTCTGGACCTGGAAAGAATAATATGGAACCGTAAAAAAGTCATTTCAGGAGTCCATTTTTGTTATGCAGATAATTAGGCTCTGCTCATTCCGGTACTAACTGAAAAACACCTATAAACATCCACCGGTGACGAAAATAATAAAATCTGATAAAGCCGAAAAACACCTGTGGCTGAACATTTTTGCCCCGATTAAGACTGAAAAGCATTGGTTGTTGAATGTTTCCCCCCAAGCGAAGGTTATTTTCTTCAAAACCGCTCCCCCGTAGAGGTTCGTCAAACGTGTCATCTCGTGGATCCTGCATCCTTCCAGTGTCCATTCAGAGGTCGCCGTAGTCTCTGGAAGTTACTGCCAACATCAGTGCTGTCCACGGCATGATGCAAGACATGTATAGGTCTGGACATAGCACGCACAGCTGGCCAACAAACTCCTCTTCTCGCCTCGGTTGCAAGCGCCGCCACCAGATGACTCTTCGGCACGCGGCTAGTGGTAGCCTCTTGCAGGCCCGGTTTTCCATGCTTCTCTATACGAGACATGCTCCTTTTTAACATTGTTTTCAGGGTGCCCCACAATTTTCTCGGTGCCCCACGCAATGTAGAACTTGATGCTTGCGCTATGCGTATTGCTTAGATACTGCTTTGTCACACTGCCTCTCGTTTCGTCCCTCAATGGCGGCAGTAACAGTTTTATGAATGCGTTAAAGCAAAGAGATCTCTGGTGTTTAAGCCGGCGTCTTTCAAGACAAGACGAGACGCTCCAAAGAAAAGAGTGTGCGGCCAGGGGCCATAGGCACAAAACACTTTTTTCTGCGTACATTATTGTTTTATTTTATGTGTTGTCTGGATGGCTGAGACACCGTCGGCTGAAGTTGTAGCGAGCGCACGTGCTCATGCGGCGTGACATGGGACAATGGGCCATGCGTCACTGAAGGCCTCGCGTGCCAGGAGCGCATGCGGGGACATTTGATTGCTTGTGTGGGTCGCCATTGGACTGACATAAAAGTCTCTGGTGTTTTGGGTCTCCCGGTGGTCGGCAGCTTCTTCCCACATTACGAGCGGCTAGCCCAGAGCTACGCACAACTGAGGCAACTGGGGCGCGCACCAATGAGACTTTATCTGGTTGATCGTGCACCAAAAAAAATTGGGTTGTGTGTGTGTTTATACAGCCTAGAACTTGGTCTGCCTCACAGGGGCGACGAGTCTCCCAGCTGTAGATGAGAAATTTAGCCAGTGCGGTACAACCGCTAGCCTGGGGTCTTTAACGTGCATCACGCAGTAGTGATACACGACCGCACGCCGGTACAATGCTCATCCAGATCGAAACGGGCAGGGGTGGGGCTCGAACCCAGGATCCCTGGGTTCTGCAGCGCGAGCTTTCGCTTGATCGTGCACCACGTTCGCCATGTTGCGTGTTCCCACCTACTGTAATATCTCGAGTCATCGCCTGTCCCCGAGTCTTCGCCCAGCACACTTTTTGGCCGAATACCGATTTCCAAAAAAACACTGAATGATCGTCCACCCCTACAAATACAAGGACGCAGACTCTATGATCCGCAAACATTCATCCTACCCGAATGGCGCAGCCGCAAACTGCACAGTTGGAAGACATCCGTGAGAAAGTAAAACGAAGGAGAGAAAGGCACTTCTCTTCGTTTACGCATTTCCTCCCCAATTTCCGCAACCCCGAAGCCGTAGCACATGTGTGCAAAAGGAAAACAATAGAGATAACAGAATGAAACATTGTTTTGCTTACAAAAAAGCTCGTTTCGGCAAAAAATACGAAGTCGGAAAGGCAACACTAGCAGTAACCCATTCAGAGATTGCGAGGTCAGCTAACGCCCCCATATCTTGGAATGTAACTGCGGAGTGAAAGGTCCAAGTCAGTCTCCACCGACGTAAGGTCACCACAAACCCGCTCTTTCTCCCGGAACGTCGCGACCGCCAACGGGTAAATAAAGATTTGCTCGGACCGCCGCACACAGACGTTTTGTAGAGCATCCCATTTCGAGCTTCATGTTCGTAGTGCCGTCCACACCACACAGCAACGCCGCCTTAACCTGCGTTTATAGCACGCTGCGCAAGGGCGCACGCATGTATGCATTAAACAAGAAAGTTGCACAAGAGCCTGCTCCTTCCTTGCAACTGACAAGGCGCCCGACTTGGCCCAACGCCAAAGTAGAGTAATCCCTCGTTATAATGAAATTGCTTTTTTCGAACTACCACGTTTATTGAAGCTCATTGCGGTGTTCGACCGAAATGCACGCATTTTTAACCTGATTATTCAAAGTGTATTGGCGGCCAACCACACTTATTACGAAGGCCAAAGTGCCGAAAGCATCCGCGCCGACACAGAGGCGCATGGAGACCTTTGCGTTCCCTCCCCCTTCTCCACCGAAGCGATGGAGGGCAGAGCACCGCTTACGATGCCGATGCGCCGACACAGGCAGGTAGCAGCGGGAGCAGCGTCCACGTTTCGATGCCACTCGCGGCGCCCGCAGCCAATGCTGCCCAACTTTTGTCAGAATCGGGTCAAGGGAGCGGTAGAGCCCGAAGATCATCCCTTCGAAAGCCACCAACATGTGCGCCTGCACGGGCACGCATGCAGCATACCACACACTACATGCATACGTGCATCAAATGGAAGTGGGAGTGTCCACCAAAAGTCGCTTAGATCTGCGAGGTTGAGAAAAATGGCCAGCCCAAATCTGAAATTGCTAAAGAATTCAACATTTTGGCATTGGCTATTAGACACTGCCCACCGTTTTATGGAACAAGCAAATCATATTGGATGGGTTCGAGAAGTTTCTCATGCAAGAGAAAGCGTGCTTGACACCCAAAGATGAAAGATCGCCAACTGTTTTGCGCACGTCGGATTTTCTCTCGCGAGCATGGCTGCAGTAAGGTTTCCTCCTCCCCTGAGGGTGGTTGTTTTCCCGGTCCATGGGCGCCTCCCTTAGAGTCGCGATCTGGACCAGTCGATCGTGGGGTGCTGCCATGGCTGGAGGGTGGCTCGTTTCCAGTGACCTCACTGACGCTCAGGCTCGGTGGTTGAATAAATATGAATATATTTACAGATGACAAACAACATTTTACAAGACGTATTAAGGAAGCGTCGCGCTTCGGTATACTGCCGCTCGTTACAGCCTCCGTCAACAATGATGTGCCTCGGCACCAAGTGCCCAACTGCGCACGGTGTGGGCAAACTCTTTTGTCACACACGACAAACTTACGCGGCCCTTGGACCGTGGGAGACAAACAGAACGATCCACACACCCGTTTCAACTCAACTCGTCCCGGCTCACCTGAACCTCAAAACCAGTGTGCTGACACTGGGCCTGTCCAATCAGGGACATTAAACACTCCTATTGGCCCCATTGCCAGCACCCTCTCCACGCATACAGGGGGACTCGCCAACGTCTCACTACTACCCTACCACCACGAAGATGCCTCCAACCCAACTCTTGGAACGGCTACTCTGCTCGCTTCCCACGCGGCCATGTTAGCCCGTTCCCGTAAATCCCCCTGGACGGTGCCACCAAAAGAAAGGGATGAGCCACTGGGGCGCCCTTCATGGATAGGTCAAGTCGGGTAGACTTGACGAGCTGTCATGTCTAAACGAGGGGGGGATTTGTGGCATCCCTACAGCAGCTGAGCCGGCGCACGACATCCAGAGCGGCAGTAGTCTCTACAGAAATGTGTGAAAATATGTCGGCAAAGCAAGCGAGGATAACTCATTCGTTTGCGCCTGTCGATGCAAGCGTTCCCACTGTTGCTCCTGCCACGGATGATATGATCAAAAACCTTGTGTGCGGCCAGAGTAAACATGAAATGACGTCAGAAAGGCACTTCGGAAAACGCCGATGACAACGGAGACACAGAACATCTTACGGCTGCTTTGAAACAAAGTAGAATTCAGCGGCGGTCAGAGTGTTCTTACGATGCTTGGAGCAGTTTGAGAACTGATGTCCGGATAAAATTATCGGCAAACTCCACTTAATTATTTTTTTTTATTTGGTGAAGCTGCCACCTGTTGTTCATAACCAAGGCTTGTTTGATCAAACATACGGTCGGAGTGTTCCTTAGCATTTCCGTCCAGCTGGAAGGCTGTTGGCACTTGTTTTCTGGCTCTATCGCTTTTATTGAACTTCTTTGCCGTCCCGTTGACTTCGTTATAACAAGGGATTACTGTATTTCCCAATGCGATCATCGGCTTTCCCACTTCTTCAGTATCGCTCTTCATCGCTTCTTTCGTCCACTCGCTCGCTTGTTGCAGCTGGTTGGTTTTTCTATTTCCTTGTTGACTTTTATGAATTTTTTGTATTCACGAGAATAGAGTGGTGCTAGAAACGTGCTTTCACAGAATGTTTGTGCTGTATGCCAATCGGCAGTGGTCATCGCGCGTATGCAAGCAACCAACTTTGCAATAGTAAAACATCCTTTCATGAGCATTTCTTGCATTAAACAATGAAGCTAATTCGAGTTTTCAGTTTCATGTATTTCCTGTTCAGTCACACTAAATACAAACAAATAAATGGGCATATTTTTCCAGCTTTCTCTAAACTTTTTGTGCTTACCCACTGAGACATTGGCCCACTCCGTTTTTCTTTTTATGAATTTCAGGGGACAGGGTATTAGGCAATAACTTGGGATATTACAGTATATATCCTATTCTGTGGTCTGGGACCACTGACCTCAGAAAATGCGTAAAACATGGATTCTGTGCGTCTTTTCTGAAGTTTTGAATAACAAACAATGAACTATGACGCAAAACGAAGCTGTGCATCTTTTTGGCAATCCTGAAACTAAAGTTCCCGCTACGGCTACAAAAAAAAAAAAAAAAAGAAAACCTTCAACATTTTATGTGTTTATCGAGTTCCTTAAAAATAATGAACCTCAGTTACTTTTGCTGTGTCAGCATTTGTTGCGGTTGACTAATTGTTGTTTTACTGATAATCACCGTTCTCAGCCTTGTCACGAGCCGACAAAACCGAAATACAATGAGGTTTAAAAAATAAACACCGAAAAACATCCGTCGATTTTTCTATTAATAAACATTGGAAATGCACACCCAACACATAATATGTAATGATTGATGGGTGGAGGACTGACTCCAATGTTATGCTCAGGTACAATTTCATGCGGCAATGTGACAACATAGTGGTGGAATCTGTTACCTTCCGTTGGAGCGATCGAAACCTTCTCTTCAACTTCTTCACTCGATGAGTTAGCGAGGTTGTTGTATTTCTGAAAAGCCTGGAGGAAGAAAAAAAGAAATTATGAAAGTAAAACCAAAACAAAGACTGGGCAAACTTACTATTCTCACTAAACGTTTGGCTATTCCAGGCGGGAAGCCCAGCTTGTCCGAAGGAGAGGTCTTGACGTGGTAGAAGTCAGTCCTGCAAACAATAGTCGAGGAATATTTTACCGTTCATACAGAATCGCATTGACGCGAAAGCTGCAGTATACGGCACGTTCGCAAACCGTCGGACTGATGTCTTTGATTATAATGCAATTAATGCAAGGGTGCAAGCGAGCTGGACAAGAATGACAATTCGCTGGACACAGAGCTGGACAAGAATGACAAATCTCCAAAAACCTAGCTGTGTTTGGAGATTTGTGTTTGTCCCTTGTCCCCTTTGTTCCCCTTCTCCAGGGATACTTATTGGCACTGATGTCGTCTTCCAGCAGACGTACAAGCCGCAACGGCGTCGACACAAACGCATTGAGTCTTTGCCAGACGAAGCAATAAACACAGATCTGCAAACGGCAATCTACCGGGGTGTTGCAAATACGTTTCTGTGAGAATCCCGCCCGAATGTGTGGCCCACGTAGTGTTATCGTCCCCGGCTACTAGACCACTCACCGCCGATACAGGAAGTCGAAGATGGCATCCAGGAACGGGTAGATCTGGCCTTCATTCGACAAAATTCCAAACAGAGTGCTGTCGTAAATGCCGCGATGCGACCGATCCATCGCGCGTCAGCTTTTCAATCGAACGCCATTTTACACAGGAAGTGAGAGAACGCTCTTCGGAATGTCCCGGTCACCGCCATTTCCGGAGCGGCGCTGCGAGCACAAGAATGTTTAGTTCTGGTTTCGTTTTAAACTGAATATTGAATTAAACTTTTTAAAAAGGTTCTCCTTGCCAGATCACAATAAAAGCGTAATGTTCATAATTTTGCTAGACAGTAATTAACATTTATTATTGATTACTATTATTAATTAGTATTCCCTAGGTTGGAGAATACTTATTTTTTTAAAGATATTTTCCCGTAAAGAGAGAAGTCATTCTCGATAACCAGCTGATTGTTTCTTAAAAATCAGATTTTTGGCGAAACATTTATGAAAGAAAGGGTGGATGGTGTTTGTACCGCTTTACGGTTTTGTCTAAGTAAAGGTAAGTGGTGGGTACTTTTCTGCCAGTCGATTTAGTATGTCCCAGAAGACTGCACAATAAGTATTTTGCTACAGGGTCACGTATATTTTTAATAAAGTGAAAAAACGCAAGTGCTTCAGACCGAAACTGAGACTGAACTGGGGAGGAAGACGAAATGTAGAAGATGGGAGAGTTGCATAAGTCCCGTGTATACACCCAACTACGTTTTTTTTTTTTTTTTTTTTTTCTTTTTTTTCCGGCCATGCGATGCAGACGAAAATCGCAATTTCGCACAAAAAAAAGGAAAAGTCGAGAACTTCGTGTTGACGTTTGCGCGTTTTCAAGCTTTTAAAAATTGCGCATATCCGTGTTCGTAAGGCGAACGATGTCTTCAGCCAGAAGGGACGACGACTCGGCGACGTCGTACAGAATAAATCCCAATTTTTTTGATCGCCAAAAAAAAAAAATTTTTATTTGCTTAGTCCGTTTCGTTTAGCCGTCCAGCCCGCGCTACGATGTCATTTTGAAAATTACGCGGAGAATGAAGAGTTCTTCCGGTTCTCCGTGCAACTTTTTTTTTCAATCAGTGTATTTGCAATTATTTAGAAGCCACAAAAAAAATTGGTATCATACTTTTTTTTTAATTCCGTGTGTGTTTTGATGACCCGCGACTTTGATTATATTTGGTGTGTGTGTGTGTCTAAACCATAGAAAACGACACGTGACCACAGAGAAGAGAGTGTGCGCGACTCAGACCGACCAGTTCTCGATCGGCGGTTTTCGGGTGGAAAGAAAACGAATTTTGAGCCGCAAGTTGTGTTCTGAGTAGTTGGACTCTCATACGTCATGTAGAAATTAAAAACTTGGCGAGCATAAATACCCCGTCAGTGTTCGTTTAAAGGGGCCCTGCAAGAACTTTTTGACTGGTTTTTAATTTGCACCGATCCTGAGCGAACTGAATGTAGTAACTTAATGAAACCTCTCTTTTCTCAAATTTCGCTTTATTTTAAAAGTTATAGGCAAATTAGAATTACAAAAAGAAGCAAAAAATAACCTCCCTCATGACGTCGTAGGTCCTGGCTCGAGTGGCCATGAACTAGAGGAGGGGTAGTGAGCTCATCGAGCGCTCACAGCTGCCGCACTCCCTGTCGACGGCTTGAGAGGCACGTGTTGGATAGGCTGTATGAAGCGCACGACCAGGGCGGCTCGCATTGCATTTGCTACACGATTAGGCACGTGTTGGATAGGCTGTATGAAGCGCACGACCAGGGCGGCTCGCATTGCATTTGCTACACGATTAAAGACTAATTCGGCATAACGCTCCATTGGCCACAAACGGCAGCAAACACGGGGTAAATATCAGTTCAGAACGGGAGCCACTCGCGCTTCCATACCGCCAAATGGCAAAATCGCCAGCCAAGCCCGCGCCGAAGGCCTTCGGAACGCTCGGAACCGGTCGCATCCTCGAGCCGGCATACGACCGCAGCGCCGCCGTCTACATCCGGGACCTTTCTACTCTCGCCGTTCGTCGGCGCCTCATCCCACTCGCCCTTTCTAGTACGCGCCGTTTTTTCCGCCGCTTGGTGGCGGGTATGTCGACGGGTCATTTCTTGTTTCCGTACTTTATAAACTGCATTTGTTTCTTTTCTGATCTAAAATACTGACCAAAATCTACTTTCATACATAATTGAAACGGTTTGCGACACTTATATTCAAGTAGGTTGAAAACATGTGTTTTACGTGAAGTACATTCTCTGGGTATTTACTTGTACCTTACTTAAAGTACATTCTCCGAGTATGTAGAAGTGTCCCCCCCCCCCCCCCCTCGCTCCCCCCTAAAAAAATAGCTTTTTTTCTTTTCTTTTTTTTATTTTTTTTTTTATTGCAAAAATAATTTCACATTCCCGAACGCTCATTCTCCGCCCAAAGGTAGCGCTAGAGGTACGAACCAGGTGCCAAAGTTTGAGCCCGTACCGACATCTTCTTCAAAACTTATTAGTGATTTTCTGAAAATTTCAATAGGAAAATGGGGCCCATTTTCGCCCGTTTTCCGTTTCTGGCGACATAGACCACCATGCATTCGAGAGCTCCATCGGCCGCCGTTTTCTTATACAAGTTTTCAGAAAATCATTTCTAAATTTTGAATGAGATGTGGATACGGGCTCGAGCTTTGGCACCTAGTTCGTACCTCTAGCGCTACCTTTGGGCGGAGAAGGAGCGTTCAGGGATGTGAATTTACTTTTGCAATAAAAAAACACTTTTGTGTGTGTGTGTGAGTGTGTGTGTGTGTGTTGGGGGGGGGGGGGGGGGGGACACCCTCTACTTCTACTTTTAAATAATCTTTTTGTACTTTCCGAAGAAGGTACGACTCCCGACTTCAAAGTACACTCTAAGAAAAAAGTTGGCCTCAAGGGACTAACGGCAGCATTTGGTCCTCTGAACTCCCAGTTGCTCCCCGAAAGGACCATCTCGCTCAAGCTAGGTACCGTGCGCAAAAGCTGGGGACTAACTGCGCTCGACTGGGACCAACCGATAGGCCTGCGCGAGCAAAAGCATCCATTAGTCCCCCTCAGACAGGGTGCATCTGTATGACTTAGTCCCCGAATGCAAACGGAATGTTCGCCAGGAGGACGGATGCTATTTCGCTTGTCTTGGGGATCGGCGAGACTCAGCCCAGCACGGCTGAAAGTGTTGACAAAACTCGGACGAAACTGGCGAATTTGTTTAATGTGCCACGAACGTTAAGACATTACATGGTAGAGCTTCACGCGTTGTGTGAAAGCGAGTGAACGAATGTGTTGACTCGACTTCACCCAACTACCTCCTCAAAAATGATCTGTTGACATTCCACAAGTCCCATTTACGTAATTTGCCTTCGCGCAAAAAATGTGCATTTATCCAAACGCAACACCTCCAAATACTAACACTTTTTTCTTTTAAAAATGAAACTTAACAGTTTGCAGAAGCCACGCTTTTAACACCGAAGTTTGGCAGTCAGAATAAATGGTCACTTCAATCGCTAAAACTGAGCATTCCCACCAACGATATAAGCAGTCGCGCGATGCCACTACATCGCATCGCAAAAAAAAAAAAAAAATAGATGGTCACACCGGCGTGTGCGATAAGCGAGTCCAACGCCTTCGTTGGCGAGTCGTTTGTCGAAAACTCTCGCTCCGAACGCCGTTGATTTGCTCAGCCACTCCGCGACTAGATCGCATCGCAAAAAAGTCGAGTCGAGAAGCGACTGCTCCAATCGCGTCGCTTTTTGCCCGCGATGGTCGCTTTTGCGATGAAAGTTATCGCGCGGCTAGATCGCATCGCCGGTGGGAAGGCGCCTCCGTCTCTGTGTGACAAACCTTTCTGGGTAGTCCAATGTCGAACTAAAATCCGCAACGACACACTTGATGCACGGCACGTTCCACTTAAAGAGCACATTCAGGGGCAGTATCCAGACGCCTTCATGCCATCGTCGTCGCTGTTTCCAGAACAATCCAGATGAACAACGAAGAACGAACCACGCCCGGAACGTCACACCTGGCAGCACCCTACTAATACAAAACAAACGCAAACTAAAAAAAAAAAAAAAAAAAAAGCCACCCGAGAAAGTTGAAAATGCTTTAGAGAGAGAGAGAGAAAAGAAAGAAAGAAAAAAGTGTTTGCTTGAGGTCACTCGACCGGCGTGTTGAAAGTGGCGACCGTCTCCCGTCCTTGGAGCTCTTCGGTGTCCTTGTGTCGTGTGTAGTGGGAGCGGGAAAAGAGATTATCTTCTGCGCGCACTGCCCCCTCCCCCCAATCCCCTACCCCGCATTCTTTGCTCCTTGTACACGCGGGGGGTTGGGCGTTGGTCAGATGGGGTCCGTGGGGAAAACGGGAAGTGCCTTTGTTTGAAAAGAACCTGTTTTTAGTAAGTTGAAAGTCGAAATACAGCCTTCGTCGGAGGCTGGTCGCCTTGTGTCGTCTCCGATCATGCCGGGATCGGGTTTGGATTCGCGGTGCTGAAGCACTGCACTTGATCTGTTCTGACGTCACAAGCCAAGGGAACTCGATTAAGGTATGTCGAAGTGCTTCTGTTTATGGTGTATTTATTAACTGTGGCTTCAGAAAGTGTTTTCTTTTGAGCGCGTTCTCTAGCTTGCAAAGCGCGCGCCATGCTCTATTCTTTTTGGCACCACGGTTGCTGATTTTGTTATGCAGCACAGAGACCTCATATTCTATCGTATCGAGCGAAACGCCAGTTCTACCGATGGCTTATTTTTTTGTGTGTGTGTGTGTTTCGCAGACCCTGGCAGGATCGCTTGACCATAAACGCCTGTCCACATGCAGCGGAGCGCTACAGGCATAACGCTGACCTTGCGCTAAGCGCGTGCTGACGGGATCGGTCAAAAGCTTTGTATTGCACCGACAAAACTCATGCTCACGGCAGACGAAAAGTAGCTCATGACACGTGAGCAGCGTTACATCAGCGCTTCGCTGCGTGTGAGAACCGGCATTAATGGAGACATTTATTCGATTGTACACTAGACTTTCGCGTTGATGGCGGGAGATCGTGCCGTCACTTTGAAGCATAGTTTGAGCACGCACGCGCTGGGTCTGTAATTCGCAGCGAATGGTCTACTAAAATCTAATATTGCGCTGATATGCTGTCA